TTTGAAATTCCATAGTTATAATTAATTTCATTTAACTAAATTATTTGTTCATTATGGGTTAAAACATTGAATTAAATGCAATTGCAAGAAGTTCTTAGTCAGCCAAATAGCCAAATTGCTGTAGTAAAAATATAAGATTTTTTTATTTCAGAATTTTTCATTTTTGTGGAAGATCTACAAGGTTTTTTATGCCTTACTCATATTTATGATGTGAATCTATATAATCTGTGATAAATTACCAGTATAGCATCGTAACATATACTATCATTTTTGCAGTCTGTACAATGGAAATAAAAAAGAATTCTGTAAATCTTTAGATAATTTAATTTGACTTCTCACCAAGAGAAGTTGCTGTTAACTAATATTTCAGACCCACTTAATAAAATCACACAAGGAATTGTCTCTGAACCATTGGTAGATTACATAGAAGAATTTGTAACCAGATTGGTAAACAGACAGTTAGCAGTGTATGTCCATGTAACCTTCAGTAATTAAGTTACAATAATGCAGATTTGTTTTTTCTTTTGTAATCTTTTATATATTAAGTTAAAATTGAATGTTAAATATATGTTTTTACAACTATAGGTATCAGTATTTATATAATAGGGACCGAAGGGATCTGGTGAAGATTGGAATGCATCCCACAAATAAAATTAGTCTTTTTTTTTTTTTTTTATACAATCTCAATTTTCTAATGCTCCAATACAGTTTGAAAAGCCTCTTATGTCTCCACCACTTGGTAGTTTGAGATAATTATATAATTAATTTGACTTATTTAGAAAATTTTAGATTAAAGTATGACCAAAAATATGAAGTTGCTTAAAAACAATGAAAATCATTTCATATTATGTATAACATGAGGTATATGAGTGGATAATGCCTATGAGGAACTGGAAAGAAAATAGGCAGCTGAGAATTGAAAAAGGGAGGGACAAAGCATCAAAGGATTTCATATCAATAAAACAGAAAAGATGTGAATGGTAAAGTGTTATATGACCAAGAGAAGATAAAGGAAAGATGGAAGAATTATTTTAGAAGTTACTGAATGATAAAAATTCAAGAATACTATGTGAAGACAGAGGCAAATGAAGAAGTGACAGCAGATATAAGCAAGAAGGTGGTGGAAAGAGCACTTTCAAAAATGAAGAATGGGAAAGAAACAGGAGCTGTTCAGATCCCAGCTGAAGTATGAAAACATTTGGGTAAAGAGGGTGTTGATATTGTATGAATCTTATTAAAAAGCTGTGGCAGTAAGAGAGGATATCACATGAGTGGAAGAAAAATATTTTGGTGACAATTTATGAAGAAAATGATGTGCAGGAATGTGGGAATTACAGAAGAATTAAATTGATGTCACACTGAATGAATATCTAGGAGAGAATTAGGAAGGTTAGAGGAGAGAGGAAGGAAGGTTAAGGCAAGAGACAACTATAGGTGAGGAACAGTTTGGTTTTTTGCTGGAAAGAGGAACAACAGATGCAATCTTTGCTCTAAAGCAGTTGATGGAAAGGTACAGAGATGCAGCAGAACTGCATGTGATATTCATAGACTTGGAGAAAGTGTTTTACAGGGTGCCTAGACAGAAAGTATGGAGGTGTATGAATGTAAAGGGAATACAAGAAAAGTAAGTAAGATTTTTAAAGGAAATGTATAAGGGAGCATTGACTCAAGTAAAGAGTAGTGTAGGTATGACAAAAATTCACTTTGAGAGATGGACTGCACTAGAGCTTAGCCCTTAGCCTGTTTCTGTTCTATTTGGTGATTGATGTATTGGTGGATGTGAAGAGCAAGGAGTATACTATTTGCTGATGACAATTTGCTGTTTGAAACATCCTGAGATAAAATAGAAAAGAATTTGAAAGAATAGAGAAAAGCACTAGAAGAGAGAGGCATGAAGATCAGCAAAGCACAGACAATATATATGACATCTGATGGAGGGGATGGGAGTTATATACAACTCCAGGGTGAAAAATTAATAACAGCTTTCAAATGTAAGTATCTTGGATCATATGTAGCAAGTGATGGAGGAACAAGTGCAGAAATCCAGCATGTAGTTCAGAGTGGATGGCTGAATTTGAGAATGATGAACGGAGTTCTGTGTGACAAGAAAAAAAGCTGCAAAATGAAAGGAAGATTATAAAAAACCACAGTAAGACCTGTGATGATGTACGGTGCCGAGATGTGGGCAATTACAAGAGCCCAAGAAAAGATTACGAGACAGCGGAGATGAGAATGCCAAGATGGACGTGTGGTGTGACGAAGGACAGAATTAGGAATGATTACATAACAGGAACAATCAAGATAGGTCCTATAAATAAGATGCAGCAAATTACATTAAGATAGTGTGGAGAGAAGTACGGACCATATTGGGAAGTCGGAAGTGGGGAAGAGTGTTATGTCCATAAAATAAATGGCTACTTGTTAACATATATAATTAACTTTATTATAATACAAACGTAACTTTGTGCCTCCAGGTCTCAGTGTCAGCACATCTAATGCACGACTGCCCAGAGAAAAAGGAACACAACAAAGGTCAAAGATCATCTAACTAGGTCAATGGGGCAATTCGGTGTGGGTTATCCCCTATATATATATGACAAAGACCAAAGCTGAGATGAAAGGACAAGGTGGCAGGGAGAGAGGACACCCTGGTTAGAGAGAAGTGGAGAAGACAGATTAATTAAAGATGGGAATGCTGACTTCATATAAACATGGGAAAAAGCAAAGACAAAGAAGATAACAACATGTTGTTAATACTTTCAATTGATCTCAAATTACTTCAGCTGATTCTAATCGAACCAACTGAAGTAATTGGTATGGTTGGTACAGCTGTATCTAGCAGGGTGCTTATATTGCTGCACTCCCCATTGATACCAATGCAATCAGCTCTGTTACTTCAAAGTAAAAAATAAATATAACAACACATATCACACACTTTCAATTAGGTAAGATAGGTAACTAAAGTAATTCTAAGGTATTCGAGTAACATTCTCCAAGTACGAGTGGTATCGTGCCTCGGACTTCCAAATCCGCCTCGAGCAGCACTCTTATTCTCAAAATCATAGATACGCCACCTAATCGATACATTACGAACGATAAACGATACAAGCAAATCTCATAAAAATTGGATATGACTAAGACTGGATTATTTTATTTTTGCTGGATTTTCTGATTTTTGTGTGTATTTATTCAATAAATGATATAAAATTAATTGAAATATTTCTAAAATCTGTAACATATGAAATTATACCTTGTATAATTTCAATAGATTTATAAACAAATTGATTTCAAATGTTCTATCAATAAATCCATTGGTATCATCTGGTAACATATTCCCACCATTTTGCATCACACAAATGTGTCAAATTATGTCAATTGATATTTTTACTAGGGAGCATCAAAACTATAAACTCAGAATATATAAACCATATATTCATCCAAAGAAATAAGCCAAGATTAAGATTACAATTAAATGGAACAGAATTCTTTAATAAGTATGAAGTGATTTAATCATTTAAATTACAGGGACATAATTGAAAATATTCACAAATTAAATAAAAAGTTTTAAATTGTCATGGTGCTTGTACTACAAAACAATGCACGAACACTTCATAACTGATTTGTAAGTTAACAGGTTATGCTGTAACATATGATTACACTGCTACTTGTGAGGACTCAACCGATGTCCGAAATCATGTAAATTGCGGTATTCTTATGATTAAATAATAACGATAGATTAAATATGAGAGGGAGAGGAAAATCCCATAATTTAAACAACGTGCGACAAAATGTAGACAAGTCTCAGATGACTTCAACACATGTTAAATGAACTGTCAATGTCAGAATGAAAAGTTATAAGTCAGAGACAAGTGGTCATGTGCAGGTAGAACTTTGACCCCAGCACTCATAAACAATCAATCTAGGGAAACAATTTTGGAAAAGAGGGAAAGATTTAAGAGAAATAAATCATTGCATATGATCGTTCGAGTACCCAGATGACAGAAATTGCGAGTTGCAGAGCTAAATTATGAGTGCAAATCTTGCAATTTTGTCAACAATCCCCAAGAACAATTGACAGAAAGGCGTCGAGCAGACACCTGGAATCGGACCTTTCCCGTGACCCGAGTCGGTCTTGGTTTTCCCCAAAACAAAAAGAGAGACCAATCGGGAAGTGAGGAAGGGGACGAGGGGCCAATCAGAAGTCCGAATAGTGGGAGAAACCGAAAATCAAGGTCAGAAGGACTCCACGAAAGGTCGTGACTGATATTGTGGTGTGTCACCAAAAACTTTGGACTCTACTACTTCCTCCTTCCGATCATCCACCTTGATCAGCGACAGCATCTCGTCCGCCCCGGGGCCAGACAGACGCCGAACTTCTCGCCTCTCTGCATCTCCGACAAGAAGAACTAGTGAAGAACTGTCGATTGTCAATGTAAGCATAAATGTTAACAAATAAACGGCTTTCTTGTGTAAAACACTTGTCATCATTTGCCTCCTCCGTCACAGCCCACATACAACCTTCCCTTAGGTTCATCCTGACACGGAATTAATAGATCCCACCTGTGAGACGGCAACCTTACACTGGCGTCAAAAGTGGGATATTTTATGCCCAATCTACACCAGTTCTAACCTTACACAGGTGCCGTGGAGTGGGTTTCAAGTCCCCTATCTCCACGTGGTCGGCCATCTTACATACTTTTGAGAAACCAATAAATTCTAAAATTGCTATTGGTCAACAACAAATACAAAAGGTGTATCATGAATGGAAATGAGTTGCGATGATATAGAATTGATACGTGACGTATATAGAGCAACAACATGGGATATTACAGTCATACCGTCTGAAATGTCTCTGAGAGCATAAAGCTGAAGATGACTTTTGAAATATGCTTCAAGATATGTTTATTTTACAAATCAAAAATACATCTTGAAGCATGTTTTGATGGAAACCTGACAATTTTGGCGGATATATTCCTGTTTTCATTTTAATTTCTTTATATTTCGATTTGGAGTATTTTTCTTTATTATAATTATAGATAAAATGTTAACTTTTCTGTCCTTGGCATAAGACGTAACTAACTGATGCCGATCACGCGCATTCCACGTGGCTTCCACTGTATCAAATCAATTTCACGGTATTTATCAACTTCGGCAATTGCCTTCTTAACCGGGAATAACGATTTTATTATCGAAACCTGTTTTAAAAAGTGGAAAATTAAATCGCAGCCTTAATATCTTCGATTAAATCGGCTTCACCATTTCTAAAATCATCTTCCAATTTAATTAATAATAATTTAATTTTAATTATGAAAAATATTTAAAATTCAATGCTTTAATAATTAAAAATAATATATAATTTTAAAAAATAAAATTATTTAATAATAATTTTAAAATTATGAGTTGACATATATTCTAGCGGAGAAAAAACATTTTTCTCCACTAGAGGTATTAATGAAAGAAAGATGGCGCCGCCCATGACAAAATTGTTTTCTACTAATGTTTGAAAAGAGACGATACATTTAATAATTTGTAGATATTTAAATTTATTCGATTTTCTGCTAAAAAATGTCAAATTTTGGTGTTTAAATTATTAAATTTTCATTATTATTGAATGCTGAGTAAGAGTTAAATATTAATCATAATTTTTAAAATAGATATGTTAATGCTAATTTATTACTCTGTAAAGACACAACATTAGATTACCTTAATTAATGCATTAAAGTTCTATATGACGTTAATTATTTAGCTATTTCATCTTACAAGTTTCAACCAGTATTTCACAAAATACCTTCTTAATATATTTTGGCATTTGAAGCTGTTGTATAACAAGCTATTACAGCATCTATCCCTACAATATAGGTTAGTAATTTAATCTACAAAGTTTTAGAATATGTCAATTAATAATGTTAATAAACTGAAATAGAAGGAAATGTTTGAAATAATTACTTATAAAATTGATTATTCTTTTAATCTAGTATATTTAGATGGAACATAATTATGTCTGCATCCACTGTGGAAAACAGGCACCCGCTCTGTATAGAGAATACACTAAAGAATTGCTTAAAATGTGCCATTGCGTAAGTAATTTGCAAAAATAAAACATTTGTTTTAATAGCTAAGATTTATTACATCACAATTTAAATTAATATGTATTTTTCAAATGAACAATATGAAATTTGAAGCTGCAATCTGACAGTTTTACAATTTACAATAACTGAATTTCTCATTTTCTGAAGTAAAATGTAACATTTGATGCCAAAAGCATTGATTTTGTCATCCATTTTTTTAATAGTTATTTCTAATAAAATTTGAAGTTTAATAGGAAAATGTGATTTGACGTTTTCAAGGAAAACTGCAAGATGACCGTCGACAGTTACGTCGAAACGGAAGCTTCCATAATATTAATTGATGCGGTTCTTCAAAGAAAACAAGCTTACAGGCACATCCTTTTCAACACCGAGATTAAAGTAGGTATTTTTATCGGATTTGGACGATTTTAATTGTTTAAATCTCGTCTGAACTTTCTTTCAGTTCGTATGGAAACTGGCAATAGTGTTTTTGCTATGCGATGCTTATCAAAAGTGGATTTTGGACAGGGCAGTGCCTTGGAATTTCAATAACTCCAATGGCTTCATTTACTTAGAACTAGAATGGAATTTCTATTTTGCATGTTTAAAAGCCACAATAGGTAATTTAATTAACTTTCTCTCTTGGTAATTTGATTGATTAGTCTTAAAATTTTATTTGCAGAAAATTTGCTCTTCCTATTTTTTGTTATATTATTTATATTTATTATATACAAGAAAAGAATATCCAAGAAAAAGTAAATAATCTTTAAATGTTATAATTAACAACATAAACTGTCAATAGTAGTAAAAGATATATACATTTTAGGAATTCCACGACTAATTTATTGAACGGTCTCATAATATTTAGTTATGGAAAAGTATTTTACTTGCCGGCGGTTCTCTGGGGCATGCACAGCGGCACGACTACGGATTTTCTGATAACCGCTTTCATACTGATTTCGGAAATTCAAGCGTGCATAGGTAATCCGATTAGATTAAAATTTATATTTTGTTTGGAAACGTATCTTATAAAATTATCATCTTTCCAGTTACCATCGAAATACCGAAAGTATTTGCCACCGCAATCGTCGTGTTTAGTTACGTCTTACATCAAGCCATCGCCTCGGCCGTGTATAAAAATATTCATAATTAATTTGTTTATGTAAAAGCTCGTATTTTTAAAGAATAAATACACAATTTGTACTACAATTGCATTTATTATACATATTTGGTCCCTGATGGAGAATCTTTATAATTAAATTTGACATTTTATAGTACACACAATTTATGTATACACTTTTTTTTTATAAAAACAATAAAATTTAATAAACAATTTATAAAATCAATTTAAAATATTGTGGGAAGACTACATTTCAATTTGTTTTGCTTTCTGATGATGAGAAAATGCAATCAACAGCTTAAATTCACAAAGTGCATTGTAACATAATTTAAAATATCATTATAAATAATAATATAATTTTTAGAAAATGCAACATTTTTTATAAATTTCTTTGTCGTAGTTATTATTTTAATTTTTGATATAAGTTTTTTCAGTATTTTTATAAGAAATATGTTTGATACTTTTTAACATTGAGAATTATTTGCATTTTTTGCAAATTTAAGGCAAGTTTTATTCGTTTAGTTTCTTGATTATATATTACAGATCATGAATTGCATATTTCAAAATTCTAAAATTAATTTTATATAGTAACCTTCAAATTACTTGGAAGAATTATAATTGTTGTCACGTGGTTTCAATAAATTTGTTAAATGGCAAAGTAAAACTAAACTGCATATCATAACATTCAGACTGACAAATTTTGTGCAGCATAATGATTATCATCATCTTTCACTTGATTATCTACAACTCTATAAAGATTAATAATAATCGTCACTTAAGATATAAGAGGTAGCATTTGAAAGTTCTAGTTACAATGCTGAAATATATCTTCCTTCAAAATAAGCCTCCCTAAAACAATACACTTCTGCCAGTAGGTGTAGAGGTTGAAGAGGGTTCTAGAAGTGCTTCCACAATGTCTCCAGTTCAACCAGTGTTGCAACCTTTAAAATGTTTTTGTTGGCGAGAGCTGTCACCAGTTTGCCCGCAGTTTGTCTCTTCGACCTCTCCCCTGCCCTTCTTGAACCGTAGATGCCAACTGAAGAACTTTGACTGCAAGTTTTTATCACCATAAACCTACTTCAACATGTAGGTTTCCATTGGATCTTTGCACAAACAAAAACAAAATTTGTTAATCAGCTGCTCAATATTTCACTAATCACTGAGCATTCTGCTCCTTGCTTGTAATACCTGCATGTATTGTAGTGATCACTTGATCCATTTGGACAAAACCAAATAAACGGGTCAAGGATTTATGTCATAAACCAAGAATCACTTGACTGTAGTATATGCACGTTTCCATATGGAAACAATTCCAGAACTTTTGGATTCTACCTTGTAAATGTTTAATTATAGACAAATACAAAAACAGCTGTATCAAAAGTAGCACATGTGCTGAAAATAAAAAAGTATTAATACCTACTGTTCTGTTTGTAAATTTATATATTATTTGATGCAATTTTCATCACAACTCTTCTTTTAATTATATTAATCTTCCAAGCAAATTGAATGTAACTATACAAAAACTTGCATACTCACAACCTAAATTCTATTTAATATGAGCATTGCACAAATTTTATTATTTTTCAATCATTTGTACTTTCTAAAAGAATTATATTAATGAATTTTTCATATTAAGAACATGAGTTTTATATACAAAATGATTTTTATGAAAAAACTCATAATTTTGATCAAATCTGAATACAATATTTACATTTAATGCAGCACATTTTAATTCTAAAATACACATGCACATTATTATAGAGTAAATAGTAATCTTGTTTATTTTTTGCAGAGATTAAAATTTATTACAGATATAAAAAATACTTTTAAAGCTTTTGAAGTGTTTGGATTCTGACAATATATAAAAATAGAATATGTACAATAACTTGCTTATGGAAATTTTATACATGGTGTACTATTTTGTTAAATAGTATTAGTCTAATATTTTGGTAAAATGTATTTGGCATTCTCCCCAGAAATATATAGGCACTTTATGATTTTAAAATTTGAATTCATGTGGTATAATGATTGTGTCTAATGACTTGGAGACAATGCAAGTCATTAAAGACTAGTGTATAGGAACATGGGCATAGCAAGGGAGCCTGGGGGCACGGCCTCCAGTTAACCTGGTGCCCACCCCAGAAAATCACAGCCGAAAAAGTGTTGAGCCGATTTGCAAAAAGAAATAAAAGATTGAGGCTGAAAATTCTGAATCCTAAAAAAAAAAAATAAAAAAAAGGTCAACAGCTCCCTGTGCCCAATGTAACAATTACAGGAAGTTTCATATTTTGTGTGTGTTAAGTTATTGTCAATTCTTATGGAATTTTCATTTTAATGAACAATAATTTGAAATAATTCAATTTTGTGTCAGGTTGGCCTCTACTAGGCCCCCATAACAAAACTCTGGCTATGCCCATGTATAGGAACCAAACTTAACTTTTATTTGACTTTATGATTTTGTTGGTTCACACAGCCAATTTCTATGCACTTTAGAAGTGGAACAATTTTCAAAATCAAAAATTGTTTTTACTAACATATCGTTCAATTCACAATTAGTTCATTCAGTACCAACAAAAGGAAGTCCTATCCTTTGCCACAATGAATCGGTTTAAATTTGAATTCAGATTAGCAACGGCGCAATCAATTGTGCATGGCCGTCGTGCTAATTGTGTATTATGTGAAAGTTATGACATAACAAAATAGTTAACATTGCATATATGAAGGTATATATACATATATACCTTCAACTTCAAATGATTTTAAGTTTGAATGCTAAATCTGAGAGAAATTCAATTTGGAGTCTGAGCATAAAAAGAATTGTCTGAATTGTATATGCAGTGAAAAAGTGTGCTTGCTGCATAAATGTCATCTATTGGCAACCAAGCCATCTCATGCATTTTTTAGCTCTATTTTTAGTGTGCTTGGTTATATATACTGTATAACTCCTACTTATTAACTATTGAATCTAGAAGTGTATGGAAGCAATGAAGCCCAAGAAAAAGGTTATAGAAATTGACAATTGGAGTGAAAGCAGTACACATGGTGGATCTGGCAGCCATGTTTAAGATGCCAAAGCCAACAATGTGGACCAATAAATGGAATTTTTATTTTATTATATAGTATTTATGTTTTCTATTTATTTTTTAGGACATTTAATTGTATTATTTTTATCTTAAATTATGTGTATTTACTGTTTTAAGTTTATCAAAATGGATATTATTTATGATCTGGGAACAGATTGTTCACTTTCATTACTTCTAATGGGGAAAATTGATTCAGAGTTTGAACCTCCTGGAACAAATTAAATTCAAAGTACAAGGCACCAATGTGTAATTAAAATCTGGGGAGAACACAGTATATAAATTATAGCAATTATAACTGTACCATAACATTTTCTTCTAATATAAATTATTCTTCCATTGTAGGTAAACTGTTCTGTAGTTCTTGCATAGATATTCCTCTGGAATTTCTTGTAGACATTGTTCGCCTCAGAGTTCGAATCTTCTTTTGTGTTTTATTACTTACTAGCATGGACTGAGTTCGATGGAGAGCACATCTGTCTCTATTATCTAGAAAAATATTTAATTTAAATTTTTTAAAATCTAACTTTCAATTTTAAATAAAAAATAAAATTAGTATACTTTGTAGAGTCATTCAGTAATATCAGTAATATTTCCAATCTCTTTCATAAAAAAATATTAATTAAACTAAATCTTAATTTACTTTTATATTGTTTTGGAATAAATTAATATTAAACAATTTTTAATATTCTGAACACAATTTGTAAAGATAATTAATTAACAAAAGCAGATACTGTAGTCCCTAGTTAACACAATTCATTAATAATGGATAATTTTCTTTCTTTTTTTTTTTTTTTTTTTTTTTTTTCTAGACGGCGCCATCTGGGCTTCATTTCGGTTGCCTGCACGTACGGTGCGACTGGGTGAGTTTGGGATAGTCTTGTTGGAAAATAAGCTGCCCGTTGAGCCCCCACTTCCTGCCGTTTTCTTTTAAAATTTTCTTTTTCTTTAAGATACATTGGAGGGTGGGGTCCTTGTTCATGTTAAACCCGGGCGTTACGGGTTGCGCCAGTGGAAGCGAACATGTGTCGGGAAGGATATGATTGATGAGGTAATAAAGGCGTTCCAAACCTCCCCCCTTGCTGGGCATTTAGGTGCCGAGAAGACCCACNAATATAAATTTACATATCTGACATCTACTATATTTTTACAATATATGATTGTTGATTTATTTAACATTACAGTATTTAATATTATAGATTATTATATGAACTAATGACATTACAATGTCTTGAGGTTGGTAAACAGGATTAACATTTAATATAAATTTACATATTATTTGATTCCCGTTACAACATTACAGTTTTTTGTTATTGTTGATTTATGTAACAGTTCAATCGTTATTATTAATTAGCACATTGATCACAATAATAATAGTTTGAATCTAGTGAATACAATTAATATAAAATTTTTAACCAGTTTTCATTTATTGAGATGCTAGGATTTTTATTTATACTATTTTGATTTTTGATTATTTCTATACTTTCCTTGAATTTTCTTTTGTATGAGATACATACAAAAGAAAATTCAAGGAAAGTATAGAAATAATCAAAAATCAAAATCCTAGCATCTCAATAAATGAAAACTGGTTAAAAATTTTATATTAATTGTATTCACTAGATTCAAACTATTATTATTGTGATCAATGTGCTAATTAATAATAACGATTGAACTGTTACATAAATCAACAATAACAAAAAACTGTAATGTTGTAACGNTCGTTTATTGAGATGCTAGGATTTTTATTTATACTATTTTGATTTTTGATTATTTCTATACTTTCCTTGAATTTTCTTTTGTATGTATCTCTTTCTCTGTGTAAGATATCTATATTATTTTTATCTATATTACAATTATTCAAAAGGCAGTGTTCATGAAAAGCAGAATTTAGTATCAACGTATCACACGAATTTAGTATCAATTTAGTATCACACGTATCAACTAAATAAAGATGAGAAAATCCGCCAAGTGTCTTAATTTATAGCACTATATTGTGTCAGAAGCATATTATAATTTAATGTT